TTTCTTTCAAAAACATCTATAGAGCTTAAATTTTCACCCTATTTTCCCAAAATTATTTTCAATTTTATCATCCACCTATTTTTCTTCATTTTTACATTAAATAAAAATTAAAAAATTATATTTATAATTTATTTTAATTATATTAAAATAAATTGAGGGTATTACAACTCTCCCCCTCTTAAAAGAAATTTGATCCCTCAAATTTGTCTTTCTCTCACTTAAACAAACAGTTGGGGATATTGGGCTCTGAAGTCCGATTATAGTTCTCATGTGGTCTCTCCCCGTGTGTTATTCTGCTATAGGACCTTAACGAAAGGAATTTTCCGGTTGTGGAGTACTCTACTCTTTCGGTCCACAAGGCCGACCAGTATCTCGTCGAAGGACAAATCCTCCTGGAGCAAAAGGGGCTCGTGGACTAGGATGTAAGAGGAGTCCGGGTTGTACTTACATAGCATGGACACATGGAATACATTATGGACCCTGTATAGTTCTGGAAGCAGTGTCAGTGTAACCCCCTATTTTTTTTTTCTTTTTTCCTCTTTTCACGTCTAGGGCGTAATTAAAAACAACCAATTCCATAATCAAATCAGTCATACACATAGAAATGTTATCACGATCTCATATTCAATGGTCAAGATAAACCTACAATCATGCACGAGACATCGCATACAATACAACCGTACTCACTATCTACACTACCATCAACTTTTACACACTCAATTCTGTCAAAATAAAAGAAAATCTTTATCCTGTTACTCTATACACTAGGTTCGGACGCCAGCAACCTCGATCTAGACTCCGTTCCTACATCATCTGTAAAGAGTAAAGAGTGAGTCCATATAACTCAGTACAGTAAAAAAAATAATCAAATTACAGGTGTGAGATGCAACAATATAAAACCCCATACTTCTACCAACATTTCATTACTTAACCCAAGCCCCCCAATCATTATGAGGCTACTCAGGGCCAAAGCCCCCCCGGTATCCCAATAATCATATCTATCCAGGGTTACTGTCCCCCAACGTTGTCCCAGGCGTGTCAGCGTTGTCACCCACCACCAAATTGGCGACCCCCGTACGCCTCTTGATCCCTACTAGGCCACGCACGCACACCATTATCATTCACTTTCGTCACCAACATCGGCGACCATCATCCACCTACCGACCCCTATCGGGCCACACA